GAAGTTTTCTAAGCCAGACAAAACAGCTTCGCGGAAGGCCAGAGGCCTTCCGAGAAGGCCCGCCGCCCTCTGAGGAGGCCTTCTCCTTCGCACCTTCCCCCCCTCGCTCGCCGCCAGCTTTCTGTTCCAGTGCGCTCCCTGGCCCCCCACTCGGCCGCGCACGCGCCGCGGGTCGCGGTGCGACCCCTCTCGTCCCTCTCTCTTCTGGCTCACCCCTTCGGCGCACCCGGAGCTGTCGGTCGGTCGGTTGATCCCCCGTCGTCGTCGTCGTCGTCGTCGTCGTCGTCGTCGTCGTCGTCGTCGTCGTCGTCGTTTCGTCGTCGTTTCGTCGTCGTCGTCCCTCCTGGAGGAGGATGGAGCAAGGAGGGAGGGAGGGAGGGAGGGCGGATGGGGAGGAGGAGGAGGGAGGGAGAGGAGAGGGAGGAGGGCATGGAGGAGGGCCGAGGAGCCGGAGGAGGGGGGAGGAGGGCGACGCGGAGAGTGGAGGGGGCGGGGAGGAGGGGGGAGCAGGAGTAATCTCGTGGAGGACGATCAATGCAGAGGAAGCATGTTGCTTTCGCGGCCTCATTTTGCGTGCGACTGCTCCCATCCAGCCATCCTGTCTTCGGCGGCGAACGATGGGGCGAAGTGATAGGGAGAAGGCCTTCTCGGCAGGCGGCGGGGCTTCTCAGAAGGCCTTTGGCCCTCTGAGAAGTTTTTTTCTGTCTTCGGGGAAGGCTTAGAAGGCTTCTCGGAAGGCCGGAGGACTTCCGAGGCTTCTGAGGAGGCCCGCTCCCTCTCACGCCCCCCCCATCGCCCGCCGCCGAGAAGGAGGGGGCCGCGAGCTCGGAGACTTCTGAGAAGGCCCGCTCCCTCTCGTTTCCCCTTGTCGCACGCCGCCGACATTTTTGCTACTCCAGGTGGCAATTCGCCTAAGCTTGCCCCCGCTCGGCGTTCGCGACGGTGGGACCACCTCGCCGCTGGAGGACGCATGTGTGTGTGTGTGTGTATGTGTGTGTGTGTGTGTATGTGTGTGTGTGTGTGTGGACGAGGGCCCCGCGCCCCGAATGGCAGCGAAATTACCGAGACTTCACAAGCGCCGTTGAGACCAGAACGGATCAGAGCGGCCCTTCGTGCTCCAATGCCGCTTGCAGGATCTCCATGGCTGGCGTTACGCGAAGCAGGTTGAATTTCCATTGACCTTCATCTATCCACCTCTTCGTGTTTGTGATAGCGTGGAGCTTCGCGAGGACATTTGTGTTCCCCTCGTTCACCCTGTGCCGAGAATGTGTGACTCTGTGTGGCAGGGCGATGCGACAGCCAAGAAGGGCTTGCACATGGAAACGCACTTTCACGTTTTAGCACATCGATCCGTGGAGGTTGATTCAAGGTGGATGTCAGTTGCGAGTCGGCCGGAAGGACCGTGGACGGTGATTATCGTGCTGGACATGTGGCCTCTCAGTGTAAGAAAAAGCAGTGCGACCGAGGAGTATGACGGAGTTCGGCCCGTCAATCATGGTGAGGGCCATCATGCCTATTGTTTCCGTGATGGTTTCCATGTGCGGAGTGGGTGGTTGCTTAGCGGATGTTGCTGACGGAAGCATGGCATCTGCGATAGGCTTTGTTCCCGCATGGTTCCTAAAGATCCGTTAGCCATCATGGGCCCCAATCATTGTGTTTCTAGCAGTCTAGATGATGCAGTCTGAGAGTGGTGCAACCTATGTTGTAACACCTATGTTGTGTAATCTAGGTGGTGCAGCTTATGTTGTGTACTCTACGTGGTGAAACATACGTGTTGTGCAATCCACGTGGTGTAATCTTTGTTGCTCGATATGTATTGTGCAATCTCTGTGCTGGAGTCCAAGTGATGCAATCTATGTAGCTCAATGTATGTTGTGCATTCTATGTGGTGAGTGGTACACCCTCCGTGGTTCAATATATGTGGTGCACTCTATGTGGTGCAATCTATGTTGTGCAATACATGTGATGCAACACATGCAGTGCAATCTGTGCCGTGGAAGTTATGTGGTGCAATTTATGTGGTGCAGTATATGCGTTGCACCCTGTGCTGTGCAATCTAGGGCGGCGACGAGGCGGCGACGGCGGCCACATAGCCGCCAGACCGAAGGCACGGCTCAGACGACGGGCGGCGACGAGGCGGCGACGGGGCGGCGATCGCGGCCACATAGCCGCCATACCGAAGACACGGCCCAGATGACGAGCGGCGACGAGACGGCGCCGAAGTAAGAACCCCTAAGTGCAAGCACTGTTTGGGGAAGCTGGAATTGGCAGGTCCTCGATTACAAGGTCAAGGACCTGGGTGCGCCCACGATTGCCATGGATGCCGATTGGGGGACATAGTCTAATGCTGGCGCCGCCTTGCAGTGCTGGTGTTACTAGGTGTTTGTTTTTTTTGATGGCCAATTTGACAAGAGTCATATGGTCACGGACAACGGACGGGACCTTATCTAGTGGAATGTGAAGGGCATCTTTGCGTGGAGGTTGATGGCGAGTATGTTGCAGAAGTTGCGAGCCTGTACGTTTGGTCGATTGTAGCATTGGCCTTGCGGAAACCGCATCTTGCCTGCAGAAAGCCAGGAGGAACTCCTTTTCCTCGTCCTAGTCGTCGTCCTCCTGGCCCTCCTTCTCCTCCTCCTCTTCCTCCTTTTTCTCCTACCTTCTCCATGTCCTCCTCCTTCGTTCCGCCTTCTCCTCCTTTCCCTACGTCTATCCTTCCGCCCTCCTCTTTCTCCCCCTCCCCTCTCCTCCTTTCCCCCCCTGCCTCCTCCTCCTCCTCCTCCTCCTCCTCCTCCTCCTCCTCCTCCTCCTCCTCCTCCTCCTCCTCCTCCTCCTAGTCGGCGTCCCCGTGCCGAAGACCCCCCAGCCTCCCTGGTACTAGAGGTGATCGGGGACGCAGGGGGCGGCCTTTGAGGGCCCATCCTGATCCTGGGCCCGACGAGCCCACCGACTACGAGGGCCAGAGAGTGAGGGTCGGGGCGACAAAGGCCCGATTCGGCAGGCGTCCGCACGAAAGGCGTTAGCCAGGACTGCTCCACGACTGGCGTCCGCCAGGGCCAAGGCCCTCTAGCGGGGGGCGGGGGGCTCAGCGTAATCAGGCACTGCAGGACTGGCTCCTGCTCCCCCCTCCTCCCTCCTCCTCCTACCCCCTCCTCGCTTGGCCGCTCCTCCGCCCACCCCCCAGCTGGCCCGCTCCACTGCCTTCGCGTTCCCCCATTCTAGGATCTTGGGAAGTCTGCCAGGACTGTGGGAGACGGCTTGGCACCCGCAGCGCCGCACTCGTTTAGGCTAGGGCTGGCATCACTGGAACTCTGCCAGGGCTGTGGGCTAAGGCTATGCACCGCATGCCCAGCTAGCCTGCGGCCCGCTGTTTCGGCCAGACCGACTCAACAAACAGGGCTGGAGTTCCTGGATTGCAGGCCGCGCGCTGTTGGGCAATCTCCCGGGAATTCTGCTAGGACTGCGGGCTGAGGCTATGCGTCGCATGCCCAATCAGCTCGAGGCCCGTTGTTTCGGCCAGCCCGATTCGATTCAACGTTGGGGCAGGATTCTTGGCACCCGCAGCGCCGCACCCGCCTAGGCCAGGTCGCTGTGCGCACCTCCACTCCACTTTTCCTGTTCGCCTCCAGGTGGGGACCTCGCCCAGCTCGTGTTCAGTCGAGGCTGCAGCTCCGCGCCGGCAGGCGAGGAGTATCGCAGGCGCGGGCTCCAGCACAGAGCGCGCACTTGGGGTAACAGCTTCGCTCTGCGGGGCCCCGGGGAAGACACATGCAACATATGACCCACTCGTCCTCCCGCTTGCCATCTTGCCTTCCTCTTCTTCCTCCTGCTGCACCTCCTCCCCTCCTCACCACCCCCATTCTGTCTCTTCTCCCCCCTCCCCGCTCTCCGTTTCGTCCCGCCGTTCTCCCTCCTCCGCCTCCGCCTCCCTCTCCTCCACCCAAAACTCCTGCCCGTCGCCTGACCCTCCCCGCTCCCCTCCCTGCTGTCCCTCCTCCCAGGCGCCGGCGCCTCCGCGGAGCCCGCCCCGGCACAGTCGAGCGCGTCCGCGTCGATCTTCAGCCCCACGGAGGAGCATCAGGCCCTCAGGGAGATGGTACGCTCGTTCACGGAGGCCGAGGTGGCTTCTGGGATTCGCCCTTCTGGGATCGCCCTTCGAAAGCAGCAGTAAGCATGACAGCATTCGGTTTGTGTGATTTTTGTTCGTTGCGTTGTCTTTTGTTGTTGTTCGTTTTGCTCGGTTGATTTCTAAATCGATTTGCCTATGGGAGACCTAGCGCCATGGCGAAGAGAATTGATCCACTGGCCCCCTATTTTGCCCCTGAACGCGTTCTCTGTTTCGCATGGCTCTCTCTGTTGCGCATAGCTTCCTTTGCTGTCCGCATGGCTTTCTCTATTGCGCATGGCTTCCTCTGCTATCCGCTTGGCTTCCTCTCTATCCGCATGGCTTCCTCTGCCATTCCAATGGCTTTCTGTGGCTATCCCAATGGCGTCCCAACAATCGTCCAACAATCGTCAAAGCTATCTGGATGGCTTCCCCTGTATCCGCATGTTTCCTCTGATAACCGCATGGTTCCCTCTGGATCCGCATGGCCTCCTCTGCTAATTCCAATGGCTTCCTGTGGCTATTCAAAATAGCGTCCCACCACTCGTCCAACAATCGTCAACTTCAGACGTCGAGTAGAGTAGAGCATAATCGAGTACAATAGAGTAGAGAACAACATGAGCGGATAATAGAGCACAATCGAGTAGAGTAGAGTAGAGTAGAGTAGAGTAAAGCAGAGCAGGGTCGAGCAGAGTACAGTATAGGAGTGTAGTGTAGAATAGAGAAGAGTCTGCGTATAGTAGAGTAGAGTAGAGTCGAGTAGGGGTATAATAGTATAGAGTAGAGTAGAGCAGGGGAGAGTAGGGTAGGGTAGGGTAGAAGATAATAGGATAGAGCATGTCCGAGTAGAGTAGACTAGACTACAAGGTAGAGGTAGAGTAGAGTTGGGTATATTAGTGTCGAGTAGGGTTGAGCATAAACGAGTAGAACATGATAGAGACGGGCACAGTAGAGTCGAGTCGAGTAGAGTATATTGGAGTAGGAGTAGAGGAATGTAGAGAAGAGCAGGATAGGAGTGGAGTAGAGTAGAACAGCGCAGGGTAGGGCGGGGCAGGGTACAGTGGAGCAGAGTAGAGTAGAGCAACATCGAATGCAGTAGGGTAGAGGGTAGAGTAGAGTCGGGTATAATAGAGTAGAGCAGAGTACAGTAGAGTAGAGTAATTTTGTGTAGGGTAGGGTAAAGCATAGCAGAGGAGAGAGTCGTAAATTAGAAGAGGAGTCTATCAGAGTCGAGTCGAGTTGAGTTGACATCGAGTCTGAGAGTAGGTTAGGGTAGGGCAGGGCAGAGTAGAGTAGAGTAGAGTGAGGAACAGCAGAGTAGACAGGAACAGGGTGGATGGCAGAGCAGCGTCGGGCATGATGTGATATAGAGCCGAGCAGAGCAGAGCAGTTCGAGCAGAGCAGAGGAGAGCACGCTGCAGCAGAGCAGGAGGCGAGCAGCGCAGCGGCAGGCTTCGGGCAGGGCAGGGCAGGGCGTGCGGCAGCGCAGAGTCCACTCCAGCCCAGCCCAATCCAACCCAGTCTGATTCCGCCCACTCCAGTTCCGTCCAGTCCAACCCAGTCTCATCCACCCAGTCCAGCTTGACCCAACCCAGTCCAATCCAGCCCAGTCTGATGCAACCCAGTCCAATCCAACCCAGTCTAATCCACCCAGTCCAGCTTGATCCAACCCAGTCTAACCCAACCCAGTCTACTGCAACCCAGTCCAATCCAGCCCAGTCTGCTTCGTCCCAGTCCTCCCGATCTCCTCGGAGCATGCGCGGGCCGACGAGTGTCCGCCAGCGCTCCGCCCTCTGCCGCCGGCCCGCCTCTCCGCTGCCGCACTGCGGGACACCAGAGCTGAGCTGGGACGTCCCGGCGTCGTTCTTCAGGAGGGAAAAAACACACAGACACAATTCATCGTCGATTCCCCAGAAAATATGGGAAAATACATGGGAAGTGGGGGGGAAGACAAAACCCCGAACATGTGGGCAAATATGGGGAATCCTTTGGTTTGTGTGTATGTATTTGTGTGTCTCAGGGCCCCTTCGGTTCTGACGAGAACTTCTGGGAGCATCACGCGAGGGCCACCGTATGCGGCGCGCGAGGGGGAAGCGAGAAGGAGCAGGCCTCTCCAGAGAGCTCGGACGCCCTCCGGCCTTCCGAGAAGTCTTCGCAGGGTTTCCCCAGGGCGCAGGAAGCTTCTCAGAAGGCTGCAGGCCTTCTGAGAGGTCCCGCCGCCTTCTGAGAAGGTCCTCGCCTTCTCACTTCCACCCCTCGCTTGCCGCCGAAGCTTTGGGAACGTCATGCGAGAGCGAGTGGCAGTCCGGCAACACCTTGAGTGTTGAAGTTGTTGTGGAACGCTCTGATTCTTCCTCGGAGCGCCAGTCTGGCGTGATCTACTCGGGGCGCGATTCTGGCGGGATCTGCGGGGGGTCGTGGCCTCGGGAGTCCGAGCCCGTCGCAGTTGCCGCAGGCTTCTGGCCTCGGGGGCCTGCGTCTGGCGGAACTTGCAGCAAGGACTCTGGCCTCGGGGGCGCGAAGCCGGTGCATTTTATGAAGCGGATTCTGGCCCCGGGGGCGCGAGTCTGACATGCTGTATGAGGGATGCTCGCTTCGGGAGCGCGAGCCTAGCGTAACGCACATGAGCTTTCTGGCCTTCCGGGGGCGCGACGCTGCTATGGAAGCTGTGGGACGGATCCTTGCCTCGGGGGCGCGAGCCTGGAGGGATGCGGCAAGGGTGATGGGCCTGTGTTCCACCACCACCAGAAGCTGGAGGTGGAGGAGGTCCTCCTCCTCCTCCTCCTCCTCCTCCTCCTCCTCCTCTTCGTCCTCCTCCTCTCCAGCTTTCAGGCGATCGCAAACATCAGGCGATCGTTTGGAGCCCAGAGTTAAAGGTCGGGCCTCTCCCTCTACAGGAGGAGCATACAAAAATAGCCAAAAAATCGTCAGGGGACGATTTTTTTGACTAATTTTGCCCTTTCGGGGGGTACTTCTTGGGTACTTTGTATTTTTCGCCCAAAATCCCCCTGTAGGGGGACGGGCCCGACCTAAGGCGATCGTTTGGAGCCCAGAGCTCTCCGGGAACCTCGACTGACCTCTGGCGACCTCCGGAGGCCTCTGGAGGCCTCCAGAGCCCGAGGATGAAGACGACGAGGACGAGGGGAGGAGGGATCAAGGATCGCTCATCGAGATTCAGGCGGTCGCAAACATGGATTAAGGGGGCGTGGATTAGCGACGGGTCCCGTTTACATGGGAAATCGCGGATCTCCGCCGCCAAACGAGGCGGCACCGGCCGCATTTTGAGGAGGGCACCTTCCCCGATCCATGGATTTGGCGACCGCGAGCCAAATCCATGGATCGCTCATCTATGTTTGCGCGCCTCGAAAGCAGATTTTGGCCTCCAGGGGTGCGACTCGGGGGTAGTGTAGGAAGGGTTCTGGCCTCAGGAGTTTGAGCCTGGCGCGATGTACGACGGATCATTTCGAAGACGAGCAGACGCTATAAACATAACTTTTGGCGCGGAGCGCCGAAAATTCATGTCTATGCCGTTTTTATTTCTTCTATTATTGCTTGGGGGGCGTGAGCCTCACGTAGTTCACGTGTCCCAGACACCAGACATGTTAGACGCTTCGCGTAACTCCACCAGCCCATCCAGAAACGATGCCCAGGCGAGTTGCCCTGATCAGGGACGTGGAGGAGCATGCAGTGGAATAAAGGGCTGGGGAAGCCGGCATATCCCAAGACGGGGAGGATGGAGGCGGCGGAGGAGGAGGTGGAGGAGGAGGACGAGGAGGAGGAGGAAGAGGCGGAGGAGGAGCAGGGCAAGCAGAAAAGGTCAGAGGCCTATTGGATGCCTCTCGGTGTCTGTTTGGATGTCTCCTTGAGAGCTTCTTGGTGCCCTCTTGGGGCGTCTTAGGGGCCTCTTGGCGGTCCCGGGGGCCTCTTAGATCAGGAGGGAACACAAACACACAGACACAATTCTAGACGCTTCGCGTAACCCCACCAGCCCATCCAGAAACGATGCCCAGAGGAATCGCCTCGATCAGGGAAGTGGGCAGCACACAGAGGAAGGGTCCCCCAATGGAGGTCTCTTGGAGCGTCTTGGGTGCCTCGGAGAGCTTCTTGGGGCCTCTTGGGGGTCTCTTGGGAGCATCCTGGAGGCCTCTTGGGCGCCTGTTGGGGCCTCCTGGGCGCCTCTTGGGGTCCTCTTGAAGCGCTCTTGGGAGCCTTGGGAGCGCTCTTGGGGCCATCTTGGGGGATATCGATCAAACAAGAAGCGAGCCTTGGTTACCGTTGCCCCTCGGGAGCCCAAACAATCGCCTCTTGGGGCGCTCTTGGGGCGCTCTTGGAGCGCTCTTTGGCGCTCTTGGGGCCGTCTTGGGACTCTCTGGAGCCTCTCATGGAGCCCTCTTGGGCCATCTTGGAGCCATCTTGAGGCCTCGGATGGCCATCGGAAGCGAAAAGGCGAGAAAGCCAAACACATAGAATTTCCAAAGGTTTTGGCCTCTTCGGGGCCTCCTGGGGGAGCTCTTTGGCCACTGGGAGCCGTCTTGGAGCGGTCTTGGGGCATCTTGGAGCATCGTGGGAGCAATTATGAGACATCTTGGGATATCTTGAGCCATCTTGGAGGTCATCTTGGGCTCTCCCAGGCGCTTTTGGAGTCATCTTAATCGGTGCCCCCCCAAGAGGCCAACATGTGGCTAAAACCTTCTGTACAATCAATGATTTGGCATTCTCGCCGAGGCCTCTTGGAGCATCTTGGGTGCCTCTCGGGGGTCTTTTGGGACCTCTTGGGGGTCTCTTGGGGGCCTCTTGGGGGCATCCTCTTGGGGCCCTCTCGGGGCACCCTTGGGAGCCTTGGGGGCCATCTTTGGGCCATCTTTGGTGAGATCGATCACAGGAGGGGGGGTGTCTAATTAGGCCGCCCCCCCTCAGGAGGCCAACATGGGGCCCAAACACTAGTAAAACACATGATTTTGGCTTCCTCGCCGAGGCCGTTTTGGACGCCCCGACACCTAGCGAAACCCCCTCTC